CTGTGGTATGATTACTGGTGTCTTTGATAAACCCTCTTTGGAAAGTTTGCTTGTTGGCAAGGTATAATACGTTACTCCAGACACTTTTTTGATTCTAAGGGATATAGTAGGAAGCAGCTAAAGCATTTGTTTCTGATTGCGAAGGAATCGTTCGCGCTGAAAACATTTTTGTTGTCTCAGGACGGATCGGAAATATTGTTTATTGGTATCGGTCGAATCAGTTACATTTTGGCGAGTGGCGTCACGAAAGCATCGATCAATTTGACCTGTGGTACTGACTCGAGTTGGTACCTTTCGAAGAATAAAGACATGCTGATCAACACTCTATCTTGCTTATCGCTTATTCAAACAATCCCAACCACCACAAAACAACAAATACCGATCCCAAGTCCATCAGGTTCAATTTATCATTTTCACCAATAGTTTCTGTTGAAATCGGCTATTTCTCTGAATTTTCATGCGTTGCGCCGTTGCTTTGGATATCGCTCGTTCCCCATAGAAAACACGTTTACACTGATCTTCAGGATTCTGTATTTTATCATGAGAAATCCTTGGAAATTTCGATGAGCATACTGCTCCGATATTGGCCAATAAATAAAACGATCTACCGTGATCGAAAGCTTGACTTAATGTCGCAAATTTTGAGAATCCTATTTCAATAATAAAACAATTGGAGTGAGAGCGTACTTTGCTCATTCAGAATCATCTGTCAAGTATGCAGCTGAAAGTGTTGCTTGGTGAACTCTTACCAGAAACCAGTCAAAAAAATTTCTTGTTTAGCAGTCAGGCAACGCTTGGGGAAACTTAGAAATTCATCATATGGCACAGAAACTTTTGTTGAAGGTTTGTTGAGTGTTCACAAGGAAATATGGCTTGCTTTAGTGCAGTGGTTCTTACGTTCGGTTGCTCCATTATCTCTTTTGATGATCTGGCAGGCCGCCCTTACCCCCTCCTCCTGATACAACAACTTACTGTCTCAACGTATAATGTTAGGAACAAACGGAAAACTGGGCCGGAAATTTCTTAGCGGCGTAAAAGAAATCAGTGTCCTAGACCGTTGTGTTGCTCATTACTGCAATGTATTATGACTGCATGATAAGCTATTTTCTATAAAACGTTCACTTCAAACTGATTTAGATGCATTCTCATTCTTTTCAGACGTGTTGTGTTCGCTCTCATAGCTATTGCATGAGAGTACCGTTCTCTTCATGACTTTTTCTCATTCATTTCGTCTTATTTCGCTTTGCAGTTCGAATCAAATTCTTATTCTGTGACATACACTATTTACTGGATACGTTGACGAGTGTTGACAGCAGAATCAACAATACAGCAATCGAATATTATTGCTCAACAACGTTCGACAATCAAATGATCAATTGTAGAGTGTACTTGATAGATTGAGAATTTGACATTAATTATTCAGTAAAATGAATGAGAAATTAGCAGAAGAGAACACTTTTGGTGATAAAAGTTATAAGAGCGATTGCAACAGCAAGGAAAAGAATGAAAACTCAGTTAAAACAAATGAAAACCCTGTTAGACCCTTACCAGCTAACAATACTCAGAAAATGTGCGAATGAAGAGTGTTGCTATCAACTAACCGCATTTACACACCCGAGTTAAAAAACACCATCACAGTGGTGTTCTATCTTAACATAATAACTGCACGAATTACTAATTTACCGACCCTTCCACTACCCCCTGACAGCTCCAAATTACCCAAAATGAGTAATTTCCCCCCTATGAGAACCACTGCTTTAGTGCATAAATTATGTGAGCTTTCGGATTCTTGGATTCTCGGTTGCCTTTCTTCATTCCCTTCAACGCTTCCAGCACCTGTAATATCAGCCATAATTTGCGCATCTGCGACCGTGTTTTCAGTGCCTGCAGTAACAACAGCAGCACCATCGAAGACCACACCTCCAGCCCCTCCGTCGACAGCAATACCTCCGACAACAACCACTGTCCCACCGAAATGTTCGCACTTTCAATTTTCTTTTTTCTAACCGGTTGATCTTCTCGCCGACCGTTAAAACGCTCAAATTACATAATTCCAAAAATGATATTATAAATTTCACTCATATTTAGTAATTCCCAAAGTGAGGAGATTTCTGAGTTGCGAATGTGTCATTTTGGACCGACTGAACTTTATCGCTGAAAAACCGTTCGACCTTTCAGTATCGTGCAAGGATTGTCCGAATCTGCGAGCGTTACACCTTACAAATTTGAAAACTGGCATAACGAGCGGTAATCTGGTGATTGATCATGATACTACATCAACTGGATGTCGTTGTGTGGATATACATTGCAGTGCTTTCGGGACGGTAAGCAATCAACTCAAGCCCATTAATTTTCGCTTCCGGATAGCTATGTTGCATCTAATGCTGCTGCTGCTTTTTTTCGTTAAATAAGGCAACTGTTTTGAACCTAGTGATGATTTCGCTGTTGAACGCATTGCATCAAACGGAATGATAGGGTTATCGAACTGAGGTATTGCTGACAACGAGAGAAGAAAATTTTCGATTTGTTCATTATCGCTGCTTACGAGTTTGCTGAGAGTTCCTCATCCACTGTTCACAACAAAAGTGATTTGTGCTTGATGACTTAACATTCATGCTCGTCAGCATGAATCACTCGTTGCTGATGCTCTCATTTTGCTCACTTAGTTGTGAGTACCCCATCACTGATTCAACGTCAGTTCACTGCCTACTTAGCGAAAGTCGTCGAATTCGGATTAGTGAGATGTGAATAAATTTCAGTGATCACTTTATCTCGATTCACCGAATTTGTGCCTTTCATTGAGCTGAGTTGCATGATGATGCATGTTAAGAGCAGCGAACAAGCAGCGATCGTGTTCGATGGTGATGTCTCGAGTCCATTCGCGATTGCTACAAATTCAGTCAAGTCATCGCTTTGTTGCAACAAGCACTCTCAGTGGACTCATGTCGACAAAACGCTGCTGATCGTTAACATTTCGTGCATTCTTCTGCGTTAGTTTTCATTTTCATCACACATTTTTCAACGAATTGATGGAGCATCAAACGAAGATGATTCTACTTTCTCACTATTAGTTTATTCTCTATGAGAGTAGAGATGCATGAAGGAAACCCTTCAAAACTCTACATGATTTCTCTTGATATTTCACTGTGAGTGTTTCATTGGTCGGCTTTGAATTTCGCTTATTGGCAGCATAAAATTTAGTGATGGATTCGGTTGGATTTGATCAGATCACAACTGGATTCTTTTGCGCACAAGCTAACGAAACGAGCGTATAACTGCTTGATAGCGAGCCGAACGCTCGCACTTACGCAAAGTGAATCTGACATAGCATATTTTATTCAATCAGAATTCTCGGCAATTTCAGCTGCCAAAAACACCACTGAGAACGTGACAACAACTAAGGCAGCACCAGTTACTACAACGGCTCACCCGATCTCACCTTTGCCTCCAACAGGTAGGTCTCGAACTTTTACGAGATTCTTCCGATGACGGTTGCCTTAAAAGTGTGTTGGAATGGTGAACGGGAATCACAATCGTAATACAAACTCGTTCAAGTTATCGGAGGCCTTCAATAAAGATATTTGGTCCCATTTTGCTCAGCACAAATGAGCTAGTCGATCGATGGGATATCGAAAGACACTATCGCTGACTGCATCAATCGCTACCACTTGAGCCTCGAAGTAACTTTATTTGAGATTCGAACTAAATTTCAGCGATGATTCAGAGAGAATTTCAGCGAGCTGTACCACTTGCTTAGCGCTGAAAGTTGCTCAAGTCAACAATTCAATGCAAACCAACGGAATGATCGTGATGGACCGTACAAAAGTCAACCAATGCATCGTACTGCAACTGAGTTGTTCGTCGGGCAGTGTCAGTGATGCTCTTCACTCAAATGCTTTCACTTGACTTGTTTCTGTGTCAAGTCACTAATTGAAGTTGCTGATTTTAGACTACAGCACCGATTGATATTACTGAACCGGGCGGTATGCCGTTGGTCGTTGGAGTAGGTGTGGTGAATACCACATTTTTTTGCAGTCATCAAGGTCAATGGTTGACTCTCACAGGAAAACCGGTCAAGACGGTTCTTTGTGTGATCCCGAAAGGTATCATTACTTATGCCTTCGTTCAGAAGCCTTTTAGTTCAGTGCAAATATTGCTAAGGGATTAATTTCCGAAGACTTTCGGTTGTATCATCATTCCAAAAGCGTTTATTTTCATAGTTGAGAATCTGCTAGCCGTGACTTTTCTTCTACAAGTTAATTCAACGCGAGGTTGAATAACTGCATTCGTTTACAGCGATCTGCCGTGAATGCTCACCGGTTGTGCCGTTGGCCATCCTCAACAGTTCCGTGCAGAATGGCAATCTATTCCTCGATCATTACTTCACGAATGATGGTTGTAAGGCGATAAATATCGATTGCTTCGGTTCGGTAGGTTCAACTTCATGATTTTATTTTATCTATGTACTGTATTCTGTGTCATCAAGATTGATGTCAACTGACACAATTGCATTCAATTTCTTCTCCAAAATCACCGACGAATGCCTGAAGCAAAGGTTTACCTCGACGGCGATATTGTACAAAGAAGAGGATTTCAGAGTGCCGATCAAGCAGAAATCATTTTCAATGGAAACTACACTGCTCCAGTGGCCACTGGAAGAGGCAGTATATCAATGGTGATCAAATGCACTAAGTCAAAAGTCTGGGCTGTTGGCGATCGATTGCTTGGTACTATCAATTCAGCATCGTGCATCATGAAACGTAAAAAATTTTACAATCTTAGACTGTGATAAGCCGTTAGAACTGCAATTTGCGTTGACAGCTGTTTATTAACTGTTTGGTCTTTTGCGGAAAGAGGTGGTGTTTGTTCGGGATAATTTCAAAAATTTAATTCTCCGTTGCCACAAGTTTACTGTCACCGGCAAGTGCTTCGGCCAGTAACTGTATTGTAAAGTTTCTCATTCGAATAATCGTGAAACTTTCATCTATCCGCTTTCTGAGTAATCTTATGTAGGGCAAGCTACTTGAGCAGAAAAAAGTGATATTCAAGCACAGCTGATCACATTTGCATGTAGATTAAACATGAAGTGTTATTAGCTTCAATAATTTTTGACAGTTTATGAGAACGATTCGAGCAATAATATATTGTTGCTTTCTTTCAGCGTTACCGCCTACCAATGTTACCACTCCTCCATCAGGTTGTTTGTTCATTGTTCATTCTTATGATTTGCTTGGGATGATGTTTGATTAATTTTTAGAAAGTGGAAATTAGACAGTAACTGTCAAATCTCTTCAATAGTTTCGGAATCTCACATTGGAATCGGGCTTTTCATAACAGGATGAATTTCACGTTTAGCAGTGAAGAATTCGAGTGTTGCGGTGCAACTTTTTTTCTGATAACATCAATGAACACAGAAACTCATTGCATACTTTGCATAGGTGAATCTAGTAGGTTGATGATACTTACTATATTTATGCTTCAGTCTCAACGGACGTGACCACCGCAGTAACTACACCCACATCTCATCGAGGTGATCTCATTACTTATTATTATGAACTTATCTATTACCTGTTTACCGCTCTTTACCTTTATCTATTTCTTTACCTATTCTCTCTCTGCCAATATTAAATAGGACTTAATTTCATGATTTTGTGAAATTTGATGGCAATTATCACTATGCAAATCATCACGAAATCAGATCAACCTGTCGAGGGCACCGTTATTTTCTTCATTTGAAAATTCTCTATCTTGCGAGTTACGCACTTTTCATTAAATCGAATTCGTTGGATTCTAATGGAATTAGTCCTTCGAAGTCGTATAATATTACCCCACCTTCTGGAAGAAATTCTAAAGGAACCCAACAAATTTATCGTGTTACTGATTGACGTCTCATCGATTTGTTGCAGCTCCATGTTTGAACTGTGTGCAGTTACATCTCGGGACAATACATGGCGGTGGATGGACCTCAGGAACGGTTGTAACGAATAGCGTACCAGTGAATGGATGTGCCCTTATGAGTATCACTTGCATTAATCCTCATGTAAGCTACCCTTAATGTTGGCTGAAGAAACGTTCAGTTGCAAGCGTATCCACTCGACAAAATTCAGGATTTCCCTCGCATCGAGTCTCTCTATGACTTAGACACATAATTTTTACCGGCAATACCCCATTTATCGCACTTAATAATATTGCTACGACCAACATTACGATTTCTAATATATCGTGTTACTGATTAACGTCTGAATAAAAATTATTAACTATGTAATCGCATCGATATCGTAGGAAATGTTACTGATAGTACTGTTCCCAATTTGAAGCCATTCTACTGTTCCAGTATTGTTTCATATAAATCTCTCTGTGATTCCTAGTCGTTGTCATAATCGGATTCAATCAAAGCCCAATTTTCTACTACATACCTTTTGATACGAATTCGCCAACATTTTGATCAATAAAAACTGGAAAGAAATGACAAAGTTATGAAAATGGTTTGGAATGATTGACATCATAATCGGATATTTTGATGCCTGAGAGAATTTCTTTCAGGGAGGTAATACTGTCCAACTTCGAACGACCAATATCAATTCAACGTTGGTCTCTGGCACTGGGACCGTGCACACCGTTTTGTTCTGCAATAGTTTAATGCAATGGCAAACTCTAGACGGAACTGTTGTTACTGGCATTCTTTGTGCGGCAAAACGTAATTTTTTTGTGTCAAAAATGCTCAAATTTAATTTTTAGGGTGTGCGAGGAAACCTGTCAATGGAAAAAAATTTAAAAAATACTGTCAACTTTTCCTATTTCTTAGAAATGCTCATCAAGTAGTTCGTCTGAATGATCGTTTCCATAACCAAATATAACGTGAAGAAATCAGGCGATATTGCAATCAGTTCATGATGAATGAAAATGCATCAGTGTTTGCCACAGCCAAAAGAATGTACTCAAAATGAAATTCGAAGTATTTTCAGGAAATTCACAGCGAAATGATCGAAATAAATGACACTTAAAGAGCTCTATGCAAATATGAAATGAGAGTATAAGTTCTCGCACATAGCATTCAGCATTTAATGATGGTCACATATCAGTTTTGTACGCGTTTTGCAATCACTAACATTCCGATCATCCGTACAAAATGAAAGCTGAACCTCAGCCACCAGTGAAATTAATCTTGAGCCTACACCTTAGCCTAAACAATAACACTATGATTAAACCCTACAAATGAACATTTTCAATCCACTCAATAGACATTCTCGTATTTTAGTACCTGTTACAACAACAACTACAACTGCTCTAACCACGACTACAATGAACCCGAATGGTATAAACAAGCTTTTGTTCTGTTCATTTTTTGTCCATTGTGGTTAACTTTGACAGATCAATTAGTTGCTATTGAAGGTGACAAAACCGTTGATACGCTCAAATAATTTATAATCGTTTCTGCATGATTTCTTTGCATTTTTCAAGGAATTACTTCAGTTTCCCCATATATCTCCTCGCTTATTTATGAACTGGAAAGGTCGTCGTAGAAAGTTTTGAACGAAACACTTCACCTCAATAAACTATCGCTTTTTGATGCCCAGGCTCAGATACTGTGCCGTAGACCCATCCTCTATCCTGTTTTGCAGTCGATAAGACCAACCTCGCCTATGCTCGGCCAACACCCGAGCCATTTGTTGTATTTTGCGCTGAGCAACTTAAAATTTCGGTGAACATCTTTGATTTCAGCTCCATGTCGATCATGCCCAAGCCTCGAGCCCTATATCATTCCACCAACAGTACTGAACAATTTGAACGGAAATTTAGCCATCGTGCAAAATTTCGCTGCAAGTGGATGTCGCTACGCAGTAGTTACATGCTCTGGACTAGTTAGTCAAACGCTCATTGTTTTGATTCATTCACAATCTTTGTTGTGTTCAATTTATGAGTTGTTTTTCACAAAGTTTTCAAGCTATAGTTGTGTTGATTGAATTCAGAGTTGATTGAATCATATTGAATAGAGATTGAATTGAGTCGTGAGAATTACTCGCAATCGAGAATTTGCAATCAAAAAGTGACAGCATTGTTTTTGAACAAATTTGTTCAAGCGATCTGCAACACGGCAGTTTTGTTATCACCCAAATATGTGCATGTTTTCGAAATATCCCTAACAATCGCTCTACCTTCAACCACATTGTTGTGCTAAGCAATTAAACGAGCCGGTGTGAGATCGTGAATAATGCAGTTAAAAACATCGCTCAGCAAATCACAAACCAAAATATTGGGGTGTTGAGAAAAGCTACGATTATAACAGTTGAAAAGCGAACTGTTCAATGCAAGTTATAAATTCTCAGATGACTTTCAGCCAACTCATTTGACCATGATTGGTTTCAATGGAAATTATCGAACAGCAATAGCTAGTGGTATAGGTAAAGCATCATTGCAATTAGTGTGCACCAATCGAAGAGTATGGTCAAGATCGGGTTCCAACGACACTGTCAAGTCGTTATCATGCGTTTTTGTCGGTAGGCTTGCTCATGACTGCCATATTTGAAACTGTATGAAGATACAATTCTGTGAAAGTAAAGAGCAAATAGTAATTATGTGAACACTGAAAATTTCTCTCGAGAACGTTTTCTTTTTGAGATAACTGTTCATTATACTCCACCATTCACATCTAATAATTGCATATTTCAGATATCGCAAACGTCACAATCCCACCAAGTAAGTAAAAGTGTCCCGTTGGATTAGTTTAAAAGTTGATTTTTAGCGCTTCATTTTACTGATCATCGAATCACAGTATAGCGAAATTGATTCAATTTATTAGTGCAGACGTTGAGGAAATTTCGAATTTCATCAACTTGATTTCGAATGAATTTCATTTGAAGCATTTTTAGTCAGTGACTGCCAAAAAAACAATGCTTTGATTAGATCAAAAGGTGGGAATGAGTATGTCTAAAATTAGTTGTGAGATGAAGGTTCATTCATTTTTTTGCTGGAAAGAATTTGAAAAAACAATGTTTAATGAATTTATGAAATTACTCTCAACTACAGTACCATCGACAACCGCTGTACCGATTGCGACGACCACTCCATCATCTGCTATCAGTAATTTTTAATGTCGTTCTTTTCCGAATTCATTATCAAAAATTTATTATATTTGTACTTCAACTGAACAGCATTCGTATAATAATATCATAAAACGACTGCTTTCTTGGCCATCGTATCACGAAACGACTCATTTTATGCACATGAAACATAGCTCTGTTTCGACGGCGTGACTCAGTTTGGCTTGCTTCTTTCATCCCATTCCAACAAATTAATTGTTTCCGATCCGTTGCAATTAGATTACGCCGTAGTAATATTGTTCAATTACTTAATTACGAATTATGTTTATGAAATGAGTCACCGTTTGTTTATGCCGTTTTATGACTACCCGTTGTTATGGAGATTTCTAAATGAAATTAAAAGCTCACACCCACAATGTTTAGTAATCCCATCAGAGTAACGTAACCGTTTCATTGTCATCCGACGTAACTTCTTGGAAATGGCCGGTATTTTGCCACAGCTGTTAGGTTTGGAAATTTTTGCCTTTCAGATAAACACACCATTAGATCCAATTCTAAAATTCGTTTAAAAAAGCACAGATTCTGGTGGAAAAAAAATGGGTTCAACCCCGTTCACCTCATTCAGGATTCACTTTTCAGTGCATTCTGCTCGGGTGGAGTTGAATCACTTCGCTATCTGCCATTTCTTCGGCAGATAACGAAGTTTCTGCCTCATTGCCTCAAACTCCGTTTCGTTTCAAGCACTCAAATACCAAAAGTTTTGAGCGCAGACGCTTAGCGCTTAAAGCACGATGGTTGATTTCTCACCAATACCATATTTCTAAAGATTTCCGAGTGAAAATTTGGTCGTTGTAGGCGAATGCACAGAATGTTCAACGCCTCTCTATGGAACTGTCACCACACCAGGATTCGAGAGTGGAATACTGTTCACCAATCGAGACACGAATGCGAATGGTTGTTCACAGATCAGAATTACTTGTACCAATCCTGTCGTAAGTCATATATTTTGTTCTCATTTTTCTTTCGTTCTCATTTAGTTCTCTTTTTTCTCATCGTTGAGGTCACCAGAAAAAAAATGAGAGTCGATCCTCATTTTTCCGGTGACCTTAGTGACGCGCAAGGCCACAAGCTATTCAAGGGATCATCTTCAAAACCGATTTTGACCGATTACGGGAGTACAGCGAGTGGAAATTCATGCGACCATCAAACTAACGTTATCATGGATCCAAATCATTCTCGATAATATAGAGACTATTGAATTAGACGAAAGGATTTTAAATCCGCATGCATGTTGT